TCTGCTTCCTATCTCCCTTCTTTTCCATGCCTCCTCATTCATATCTGAGCCACAAGCAGGGGAAGACAGAAACTGACACAACAACAGGAAGTGCAGCCGGCAGACCCAGGTAGGCCAGCCATGGAGCTGGGCCTCAAACCCAGCTATGAACTTTTTGGCTGAACACACAAAGGCAAGTGTGTATATTCTGTGTGCACATCATTGAAAAGATCTCATACTTTCTGAAGTTATATTATTAGAAGGCAGGAGTGGACACTCTTAAATTCAGATCCACTCTAAGATAATTGGAAAACACAAATGCAAATATCATGACCATATCACACTACTATCTAAAGGTCATCTTGCAAACATCCACTTTCTACAAACTTAAATGACATCGTTTTTGCTGTCCATGCTAAATTCCCTTAAATCCAAGATATTAAGGTCAGGAACTGTTTTATGAACTCATACCTATAGCTAAAAAGGTGTTCATCTCAAATTATAGAGATCATGAAAATTCACTCCTTTAATTAAAATATCTTGGGTTGTCTATCAGCTGATGAATGGATAAACAAAATGTGGTATATCCTTGCAATGGAATAGTACTAGGCAATAAATAGGAAAAAAGTACTGAAACATGTCACAAATGGACAAACCTCAAAAACATGTCTTCAGTGAAAAAAGTCAGTCACAGAAGACCACATATAGTGTGATTCTATTTATATGAATTGTCCAGGAAAGAAAATCCACAGAGACAGAAAGGAGTTTAATGGTTGCCAGAGGTGGTGAGATGGGAGTAAGGGGAATGGGGAGTGGCTTCTCATGTGTACTAAGTTCCTTCTTGGGCCGATGAAATGTTTTAAGATTAGAGCATAATGATGATTCCACAACTCTGTAAATATACTAAAAACTGCTGAGTCATGTACTTTAAATAGGCAAACTTTACAGTATGTAAATTAAAGAGACGTTAGTATGTTATTTCCCCTACCTACTTGCAAATTTGATAATAGATATTCTTTCATGTTCAGCCGCCCTCATTATTAGCAACAATCCTTTTGAATAAACAGGAATGAACATAAAAGCATTTATCCCGCACCCCCTCTCGTACTCCCTCCACACTGACAACCGCTCCAGAAGCCTTGATAATTAATCCTGCCCTCAATTTTAATATGTCTATCAAATATATGACAGTTGGGAAGTCAGAGTTCCAGAGATTATTGGCTCTCCATTCATTAAGTACAACTTTCAGGCCAAACGTTCAAATCTGCCTCCATCTCTGTCTCCTCCCATGTTTTCCTTCACTTTCAAAACTTCACTGCTAAGGACCCTGTGTTCCAAATCAGAGCTGACACAAAACACAGAACAAGATCTTTGTGGTTCCAGATTGCAAAGGGAACCAGGACCAATTATTAATCAATACAAAGTATTATAGACAGAAACTGGTAGAAAAAAATAAAAGATGGCTTCTCATTCTCTCCTTTCCAGGTGATGGCGGTGGAAATGTAGGCAGCTTTGATTTCAGTAAGTGTGGACCAAAACAGAGTTGGACCACAGCTGGATGCCATCTGACAGAGCTCAGAAAAATCATGATTGTCCTTTAGACATTGAGGGGAAAAAGTTCTCATCTTGGTGTTCCTACTTTGCTCCCATTGTTGCACAAGCAACTAAGTCCATGACAAAATCATATCCTTTCCAATAGAAATCCCAATCTGTTTTCTAAATCTTGAGGATCTTGTTCTCCAGCCAGCTTTCCTGCATGCCTGAGGGAGCTCCCAGGGGATGGGGCCCCATGGAGATGTACAGTGCTGACAGAGTCCTTATTCTACATTTCCTGCCTCTGGTACAACAAGGTTAGGGAGGAGCTACACAAATGTCAATGAATCAACCATGGCAAATGTGCTGTTGGACCTCAACTGGTTTTAAGATAGGAGGAGGCCCTGAAATCTGGAAAGATTCCAGTGTCTTAGCTAAATCTACTGCCTCTATCAGGCAGAGATCATTATATAAGTCTTGATTAGTTTATCCACTGTTAATGTTATTTTCCCCTTTGACTTCTATTTCCCCTCTCTTCCCTTTTCTTCCTCTTCCCTCTACCTCCCATCCTCTGCCAGTGGCTGAGTAGTTTAACTCCTTTCCACTTACCTGCCTTGGAGGGCAGGGCAAGTACAGAGCAGCAGTGAGAGAGTGGGCACAGGGCTTTCTTTCTGCAAACACGATTTCACTGTTCCCCCTACTCCCAGAGGACCTGATTCTCAACCAGGCAGACAGAGAAAAGAACTTGTGGCATCGGGAAATCTGCCCAGAATCCACGAAGCCCAGTAACTTACCCTGGGCATCAGACAGCCAGGCAAAGTTTGGATGTTTACTTCTGAATGTAGAGGGCGAAGGCACAGATTGATCTAGATTGTGGTGCCCAGTATCATTTGTTCCTGGACTTAAACATCCTCTATGATCAGTCTGTGCAGCTCTGATGAACACTAAGCTGTCTGCTGATTACCCTGGGAAAACTGACTCTTCAGGCAGATTAAATATTTGCCTTGTGATACCCACAGCTTCCGCTGCCCCTCCCTACATTGCAAAAAAAAAAAAAGGAGATAACTTGCTTGTGATGGTGGGTTTGCTTGGGTTTGTTTTATAGCTCACATGTAACAGAATCAAACTGGCTAGATTCAAAGGAGCTGTGCTCAGGAAAGCAGAATGAATGCTCGGCACCAGAGAGGAACCAAGGCGGGTAAGGCCAGTGCAGCAAGGGCAAGCGAGCAGGAGTGAGTCATATGGCCTGAGCAGCCCTGGGCCCCATCAGCTTGCAGCCACTCTACTGTCACTAAACCAGCAGCACGCGACCACCTGGGTTCCGAGGAGCACATCCCACATGTGTTTCTGAGGGGCTGGCACTGGCCACAGAGCTAGGGCTGTGCTCGCCATCCTTCTTGCCAAAAATCACTTTGCAGACAAAAGTGGATTTTTAGCACTACAAGTGTATAAAGTCAGGAGCCACAACACAGGACACAAGGGAAACCTTCTAACAATGTCGCTTGTTTGGATGGTATTACAAGTTGAATCATGTTCCCCCAAAAGAGATATTAAAGTCCTCCAGTCCCTCAGAATGTGACCTTTTTTGGAAATAGGGTCATTGGAGACATAATTGGTTATGATGAAGTCGTACTGGTAAGGTGAGCCTTTACCCACTATGACTTGTGTCCTTATAAGAGAGAGAAAGGTGACCCGCGGGGAGGACAGGCGCCGACAGAGCAGAGGCCTGAGGGATAGAGGCCAAGGAAGCCAAGGAAGCCGAGGATCACTGGCCACCGGCAGAAGCTAGGGAGAGGCGAGGAAGGGGTCCACCCAGAGTCTGAGAGGGAGCATGGCTCTGTTGAAACCTTGATTTCAGACTTCGAGCTTTCAGAACTGTGAAAAAATAAATACGTGTTGTCTGAAGCTGTCCAGTGGTGGTACATGTTATGGAAGCCCTAAGAAACTGATGCAGACGGTTGGCGTCTGAGTGAGCAGGTGTGCTTATATAAACACTTTTTCTGTGACCAGTTCCTACTTCTTTTATGAACCAATCTATAATTTGATAGTATTTTTTAATCAAGTAGGAATAGTGGGACTATATAGGAGTTGGCCAGCCAGACGAATGAGACACAGCCCATTCCCTACTCCAATGTGGCATCTATGCCCCTGCTGGAGAGAAAGTCGGTCATGTTCTGTAAGAAGCCAGTGATGCTAAAACAGTTCACTGTTATGACATCTTACTACTTTTTATTTAAAGGAGGGCTCTAACCACTAGAATGATTAAAGAGACTGGATCCTGGACAGAGGCAAAAGCCCTCCAGGACAAATGGTGCCAAAAGCGTATGTATATTTTGGGTACTTCCCTGGCAGGCGTGGGAGGAGGTGTGGGAGGAACAGTCGTAGAACCTCACCCGTCAGTCCTAATTCTGGCTTTGATGTTGCCATTAGTAGGTGTCCCAGCAAAGTCACTAGGACCTCTTGGGACTTCCATTTTCTTTAGGAGAATTTGCTTTCTGTATACCAATGTACCCATGTAACACAGAAGAAGGAAAAGGTAAAAACAGTAAATTAATTCAACCTCCCAGATCTTCAGGAAAAACCTTGGGTGGCATCTCAAGCATCTAGCTTCTTGGCTCTGTGCCCAAAACATCAAGATCATCAATATTTCTCCAGGCTCCTAATTCCTTTTTCTAGAACAGATTCCATATTCAGAAAGATTGACAGTCCGAAAGGTATCTTGTGACATCTGGGCATGTTATTGGATATGTTGTTTTATTTATTTAGTTTTTAAAAAGCAAATCCCAGACAGCATGTTATTTTACCCGTACCCATTTCAGTACATATACCTGGCAATCATGACTACAATCTTATGTAACCATGGTGCTATTTTCATATTTAATAGAATTAATAATAACTCCTTGGTATGATCTAATATGGATCTGATCATATTTTTGCAACTCAAAATAGGAAACAAATTGGTGAATTTGTCTGTAAATTCTTGAGTTGAAAGGAACCTCAGATAGTCAACTTCTATTAACATGCACTCCAGACAGAATGTTACATGTCCTGTTTTAAAATATCATAGGGTGTTTATGTATAAAGAAGGACTTTGGTGATCACCCGTCTCCTTACTTGACAGATGGGAACACTGAGGCCCTGAGAAGTCAGGCAACTAGAGACCAAGGTTGGATTGTTACCCATTCTTCTGATCCCCATCCCAGAGCAGACTGCCTCTTTAGTAATGAAGGTGCCACAGGCTTTCTTAGTAGTCAAATCTATTATTTAATTCTGAAGTTTTTATCTCTTTCTCACTAAACTCCCAATTAATAGCATTTTAAGCTTGTTTCCTCTGTGGAAATAGAGACAACTAGCCAGGGTTTTCTTTCTACTATCTGTCATGCCTTTGAAGACCCTTTTTAAGTGTTCAAGCTGTGTGCTTTTCCTATGAGACTGAGTGGCCCTGAGTCTGATCCCTTCCTCACAGGGCTTGCTTTCTCTCCTCCAAGGTGGTGCACCAGTGGGTGAGAAGCTTGGACTAGCAAAGGACGCAGCTGCTTAGAGCATGAAAAGGTTTCCCTCAAATGACCTCTCATTCTTGCCAAGTGGTCATGAGAATATGCCATCAAAACAGAAGGCTCTCAGAAACAGGCCCTATAGTTCTGTCAGCTATGTTTAATGAAAAAACAAACAACAGAATTCTTCACATATGAAGATGGAGAAAAAAATCAGGATACACTGAGACATAGTTGGTATTGGGTGAGTTCTTGAGATGTTCCCTGAGATGGGGGCTTGTTGTTTGAAGTGTTCTGATGGCTATTTTGCCCTTGGATTATTATCCCAAGATCTGGTGGCATGGAGACCTCATTGACCTCTGTTGACTCTGGAGAGCAAGGTGATGAATAATTTGGAAAACCTTCAGGGTCCAAAGTTGTGTCTGGATAAATTAAAACACCAAGTTATGAAGTTAAAGATTAAACTAACAATAAAAAAATCAGTTGACAAATCATTTTGACTTCAGGAAGCCTAACTATTAGTCTGACTGCTATTTTGACTAAAGTAAACAGCTACCCAGCTGGGTGCCCTCTGGCAATAAAGTTTGAGAATGGTTGTCTTAAGGTATTTCTTGGGGCTGGTAGGATGCATCCCAGTCACTTAAATCATCTATCTAACATTGGGTTGAGGAACATTTTTTCTTTCCTTGCATCAAGGCTATATAAATAAAGTATAATTTTATGTGCTTTAGAGTTTTGTGTTATTTTTCCTTAGAGAATTCTATTCTTGCTTTCAGAATTAGGAAGAAAATACTTCTTTAGTATTCTGTCAGAAAAACAAAATGATTCTCTCCTAGTGAAATCAGCTAAGGGAAAAGTCAAAGGAGGGGAGTGGGACAGAGAGAAGAGCACATAGATTGGATGAATGGCACAAAGGACAAATCAAGTATCTCAGAATTACCTTTGGTCCCGGTCCCTTGACTCTCTAGCTGCCTTGTCCGACAAGCTTCTTGACTGAGTTTTTATGTGGATTGGCTTCTGGTGAGGAAGGAGGAGAGTAAAGGCCACAAGAGGGAGAGACATAACCACCTCACTTTTGCTGATCCATTTGATTTTTATGAGTCCATTTCTGCTTCAGCATCTCTGCTTATTCTGTCTTGATTATGCTGCCACTTGAGCCTCTGTCCTTCTTCCTTATTCCTGGATGACCTTTTCCACTTGACTCCACAAACCTTCATGACAGGCTTCTGAATGTCCCCCTGTTGTCCCTGCAGCACCCTGCATTGTGTTTACGAGTGACTCCTTGCTCTTGTCTCTACTATGCACTGGCCCACTCCTACCAAGTCCACATCAGTATATTCTTTACAGGACTTCTCAACATTCAGTGTGTATCAGAATCTCATGGAAGGCTTGTTAAAAACAGATTGCTAAACTCCAGCCCTGGAGTATCAGATTCCTAGGTTTGGGGAGGGGCCTGAGATTTTATACTTCTAATAAACTCCTAAGTGGTCCTGAAGCTGTTGTTCAAAGTCTACACTCTGAGAACTACTGCCTTACATGAAAATAAAAAAGCACCTACCTAAAACTCTTTCTTGAGATCTTATGGCAAAGGCAGATGGTAGAAGGAGATAGACTGAAAAGAAAAAGTGACATCACATCAGTGACTGTAGATAGGGAAACATTCTGAGATGCCCTAAAATTACATGACATAAGGGCCAGAGAGTGGGAGAGAGAGACAAGGGAAGGTAGTCAATAGCTGTGGGCTGTGACTAACCAAAAACTCCACATTCCTGGATGAAGTCATTTCAGTAGTTAAATAGAAGGTTCTCGGGACCACTGCACCCCCTTGACCAGTGTCTGACTACCATTGACAACCAATCCACAAACCTTCTCTGTGGATTAACCACCTATCTCTGGACTGTCCCATTGCACTTTGACCCACCTTGCTTATCTGTAGCCAATGTGAATTCAGGGAACTTTCTTTCCTTGAGACCCCTTATAAGTGTCCCCTGTTTTTTGAGCCTGGTGGGACAAGTTGTTTCTTTTCATTGGCTTGGCTCCTGGTGAAGCAGAAACTTCCTGCCCCAGGAGTCAGCCTTTAGAGATGCTCAATAAACCCTTTTATTTCAGAGATCTCTCAGTCTCAGAAATTTTTAATTTGTCACTGAGAATCAGTGATGTTCAGTACCCTGCAATTTCTGATGCAGGACACTAGCAAAGAGTTACAGAGGGTGTGAACTTAATGTGAAGCATACTTAACATTCTATTTTTTAATCCTCAGTGACTTGGTGATAACATTAGATATTGTTGTCCTCATTTTATTCATAAAGAAAAATAAATTTGGAGGTTACTGATTGGTCTAAAGATCACACAGGTTTTAAGGGATTGAGCTGTAATTTGAACCCAGGTCTATTTAAACAAAGCCTGAACTTCCTTACTTTCAAGCCTTTTAAAAAGGAACATAACGCTCTTTTCTTTATGGAAATTCTATATGGGATCTCGAAATATAAAACAGATAAGAGTATCTGAAAGAGAATAAGAAAGAGCATGTGACCAGTTCCATCCATTTGGCCCCCATTTGTACCTTGTGGTGCCTCTGGAGGCACCTGTATGGAGGTCTAGGACTCCTAGAAATCCAGTAAGAAAACCATGGTCTTATACAAGTTTGTCTTCTCATTGGCTCATATACTTCAAAACAATCTCCTTTAGCTTTAACTAGGATACAGTTACTTGACTCATCTACACATTTGAGTGCATACCATGAAAGGCTATTCTCTGACTTCAAAGAAGTGTGCAATCACTAAATAACAAGGGGAGAGAAGAAAAGAGACATGGAAACAATTACTGTAATGTGTCAGATCTTTTATGGAAGAACACAGTTCCTTTTTAGTGGGAGCCAATAAGCTGGAAACATTTTGAAATATTAAAGTATTAAAATATTAATGTTTTATCCCATTTTATAGGCTAAAATAGCCATTTATAATTGTGCCCATGCACACAGGCATATATTTAAATATATTGTTGGAGATTACTTTATTTTGATATATCAGAGATGCTATCAATTGTTTTATTTGCTACCATTGTTTTATTTACTGCCAAGAAAAAAAAATACTTCCAGTTAAACCGTGATATGCCAAAAGTTAAAATATGTATCCCAATTTCAAAAATAATAAAATGTGTTAAAAAAGGTTCATTTTAGACTTGAATATGTGTGGTATAAAGAAAAGAACCTATCATGTTTTAATAATAAACTTGGGAACATAAAAATAAAATAACTTCCCTAGAGGGCCACAGACAAAAGTATATACCTCAAATGTTAAAAGGGGCCAAAGCAATAGATCAAAGTAATGAAACAAAGTGCCCATTATATTCTAACCTTTATTCCATCAAAGAATAATTTGCATCAGAGAGGTGTTGTATTGGAAATGATGACTCAAAGATAAATCCTGCCAAAGCCAATTTGGACATTTGGACATTACAGATCTTTCTCAACTTACTATGGGGTTATGTCCCCATAAACCCATGGCAAATTGAAAATATCATTAAGTCAAAAATGCCTTTAATACACATAGCCTACCCAACATCATAGCTCAGCCTAACCCTCCTTAAACATGCTAAGAACATTTATATTAGCCTATAGTTGGGCAAAATCATCTAACACAAAACCCATTTTATAACAATGTGTTAAATATCTCATGTAATTTATTAAATACTGCACTGAAAGTGAAAAACAGAATGATTGTATGTGTGTCAGTTGTTGACTCTAGTGACTGAGTGGCTGACTGGGAGCTGTCACTGCCCAGCATCAAGAGAGAGTATTGTGCTGCATAAGGCTAGCCAGGCAAAAAAAAATCCAAATTCAAAATCTGAAGATAGTTTCTACTGAATGTGTATTGCTTTTGCACCATCATAAAGTCAAAAAATGGTAAGGGGGCCATCTGTACATACATATGTTTTTCTTCATAGTCCATTAATTCTCCAAATAATTGTAGATGGACTTGAATTGCATTTCAAGAAACACATACAATGGAGAATAAACTGGAGAGTTAGAGCAAATGAGAAAAATGTAGTAGAAAGTGAAATACCATCTCAAAATGAGTAAAGCAGAGAAAATAAAAACACTTGAGAAAATTTAATTGGTGAAAAGTAAACCATGAACATTAAAATTTTAACTTATTTTTAAAGAATGGGGTTTCATATATGAATTTTTGAGTTAATATCAAGTTTATAAGAAAATTAAATCAAGTAAGATGCTCCATCCCAACCTCTGAGCAATATGGATACTGAAGAATTGAGTGAAGGAAAAAATTACACTATTCGGTTTATTACAGGCTGGAAGACCCAGATGCAACTTTTTAAATAACTGATTTTACTTTATTCTTTATATTAACAGTGTGGGGGTAGCTCTTTATTCATTCTAATCAACCTTATAAATGAAGAGAAAGGTCTTCTGAATCTCTATTATGCCTGAAACTTTTCATTTCAGGCAACATTTCTTTTTCCTTTTTTTAAGCCTATAATAATCCTTTGAATAGTGGTAAGAGATTTGAATAACTTTCAAAGCCCATATCCATCTGCCAGTTTATAGTCAACAGTACTGTGGCATTTAGGATTATACAGTCACCATTCATAGGAGTCATTCATTCTTGAAGAAACAGAATAGGTAATAACTTGGACACTTCTTTGCCTTGTTTCATTCTTGGCTTATAATATGAATAATTCAACCCTTTCAACAAAAGTGAACACTTACTGTATGTAAATGTCACTTTCCTGGGGAATAGAAAGAATATATGCAAAGTATGATCTTGTCCTTGATGGCCTTAGGCTTTATTTCATGGTGGGATGAGGGACAATAACTATATGCAGTGAATATAGTGCCAATCAGAAAAATGTGAGGGCTGCCATTCAGCTGGCATTACTGCTACAGCTGGCTGCCATCTGTTCTGGTTGGTAAGTAGCTGTGCCAGACTTACTTTAAAGTATTTAAAATTTTATATCTGAATAACCTTCAGCAAATGGTGCAAGCTATCAAATATCCCTTCTCCATTTCTTCCTTACCAACACAGCCCTCATTTTGTTTAGTGCATCAATGTACCCAACCAAAGAAAAGAGCATTTCCCAGCCTCCCCTCCTCCTAAGGGTGGCCACGTGACACAGTTCTGACCAATAAGACTTAAGCAAATGCCACTAAGAACTTCTAGGAAAGCTCTTTCAAATAAATCTGATTGAGCTAGCCCTTTGAGTCTTCCCCTTCTTGATAGCCCTTCTTGCCCCAAGTTCAGACCTGAAGCTGTAGATGGGGCAGCTGACTTGGGGATTCTGGATGGCTAAGAAAAAAGATTGAAGGGGGCTGGGTCCCTGATGCCATTGTTTGGCTACTGCATCAACCGTGGATTGTCTGCCTCTGAACTCCTTAGTACTTAAGAAAAAGAGAACTCCTATTTGGCTTTAGTTCCT